TAAATTATTTGTTCAAATATATAGACTAATTTATTGGAACTAACCTGAAAAATAAAGATGAAAGTCAATTAAAATATAAAACAGGAGATAAAGTTCTCCTTTTTTAAATTTTATTGGTGCATTTTAAGTGTATTTATTTAGTGGTTCATATAATTCAGTTTTTATTTCTAATTATGTCAGTTTTGGTCCTCCGTACTACAGAAGCCTGATAATCATCTATTCATTCATATCAGGTGTGTTGGAGCAGAGAAACAAGTAAAACATGCAGGGCTGCGGCCCTCCAGGACCAGGACTGCCCATGCCTGATATAAAGGTCCCGTTTCACAAAGGTGTGAAAGTAGAAAAAGCAAACGGCAACATGTTTATTTGTCAGATTTATTCTTCATACAGGATCCACTGAGCCAGTTTACCTGTGACGGTGAACTTCTCTGTCGTCATCGTGACTTCCTCCTCGTCTGCAGTGAATAAGAGTCGCCCGCTGTTTCCGCTTCTCACCTCCAGCCGCCGACACTGAGCTTCCACAGCTTCAGGCCCTGCACAAAAAACCAGCAAGCGTCTAAGCATCTCAAGTTCTGTTTAGTCAAAACGTTCTGTGGAAAGCTGGCTCTTCAAATAAAAGTAGCAAAGCTGTAGTTTAAAACAAATGAAATAAATAAATAAATAAATAAATAAATAAATAAATAAATAAATGAATGAATCACTGCTTGAGTGGATTAATAATAATTTTATAAATTCTTCCAAGTTTATAAATTACTGTTTTCCAGCTCGGTAAAATATTTCACACCAAAGCTGTGCTACAGCTACCACATATTAGCTGCTTAGAAATGATGCGTTCACTGACTGGAGAGAGAAAAAGAACTAAACAGATTCTTGAGGGTCAGATCAGTTGGGCAACAACTGGTCAACATTAAAATTGGCCAGTTCCAGTTACAATCTGTTTAATTGGTGTATTCCTACCAAGGATGGACGTTTTGCATTTGTCAGCTGTTATTCAACTTCTAATTTGTTCTATTCTCCCAGCTGCTTTCCCCACCCACTTACTAACCACTGCTAAAAACAGACAAATCTGCAGGAATTCATGCGTTCCTTCGTGTGTTTGCTAATTAACACAGACAAGTGACAACTAACTATTTAAAAAGCATAGAAAGCCGTTTTAAGGAGTGCTAATTTTATCTGCAGCTTTATGATTAAGAGCTGTGAATCATCATGATTAATTCAAGTTTACTCCAAAGAAACAGAAGCTTCAGGGACAGAGTGTTGTACTGCTGCCAATTCTGCTAAAGCTGAGGTTTATTAATGGGAACACTGACTAGGCGATACAGCATTAGCACCCAAGCTAATAACATTAGTTCAGGTACCAACACCATTTATATATTACTAATAAATGTGTGGTAATAGCATATATATTGTATATACTGTAGCTAACACACTATCACCAATTCTTTGCTCGGGCACCAACGCTATATCGCCTTAAAGGATTTGCTAGAACAAATATAAGTGTGTGTGTGTGTGTGTGTGTGTGTGTGTGTGTGTGTGTGTGTGTGTGTGTG